GCCATCTTGCCGGAACTCTCTCAAGTCTAACTTTTCTTAACCAGAACAAAGCTAGGGGAGCAGGTGCCATACCAGTGGGAAAGACATAGCCAAGGAGTGTTGTTGAAGCTGGGGCTTTGATTTTGACCCTTTCCCTAACTAGTTTATGACTTTGGCTTTGGGCTGTCTTTTCACCTCCTCTGAACTTTGGCATTATGCCCTATAAAATAAGTCAGTAGAACTAGCACGAGTGACTAGACAACCTCTCAGTTCCTGTGGTTCTTATCCCTCCCCTCCTAAGACCCCAGGAAGCAAGCAGAAAACAGTTAGGGACTTAGCCACTGCTTTATTTTTTTCATGCCCTCCTCCTCCCCAGAGCATGATTGAAGAACTTCATTTTCCTTCCTGAAAGGGTTGTGGGTGATGCCAGCAAGAAGACCCCAGAGCCACGCATTGTCTTCATCAAAAAGTCTCAGCTGGAGCTCGGGGTGCACCTTTGTGGCGGGAATCTGCACGGAGTGTTTGTGGCCGAGGTGGAAGATGACAGCCCTGCCAGGGGCCCAGACGGCCTTGTGCCAGGGGACCTCATCCTCGAGGTGAGCACTGAGCCACTGAGCAGGCCGGGCCCCACTCCATCCCTCACACTCGGTTTGCTGCAGCCTTGAAGGGCCTTGGAGGTAGAGGAGCACATGGCCTCATATCGTAGCCTCTGTCAGTTCTTCTAATTCGTATAAACCCAGAATGCTGCCGAGACCCTTGGGGTAGGTCTCTGGGAAGCTCAGCAGCCCAGTGAAGGAGCCCTGAGGGCAGAGCCCAGCCTGGGTACAGGGGATGTGGGGGGAGGGGAGTTGCTTTGCTCTTATGAGCAGCAGGAAGGACTCTGATTGGATGGGGAGGTGTTGTCTCCTCCTTACTAGGTCCACTAGACAGGAGGGGTGGCTCATACGTATTTAAAGGTACACGTAGCATAAGCAAGGTGAAATGCCATATTTTGAATATTCCACACTTGGTGGAGGACTGGAGCAGGGTTTTCCCTGGGACAAGCTCTAGAGGACATGGGCTCTGGGGGAGACCACTTGAGCCCACCTGCCCCACCTCCAGAGAGGAGGCAGGTAGAGGCTCAGTTAAGGGGGTGTTGAGTTTCTGCCTCACCTCTGCACTGAGTCCTTGCAGCGTCTGCCCTTCTGACCTCACCCTGCTTGTTCTTGGGCAGTATGGTACTCAGGACGTGCGGAACAAGACAGTAGAGGAGGTATACGTGGAGATGCTGAAGCCTAAGGATGGTGTCCGCCTGAAGGTGCAGTACCGCCCCGAGGAGCTTACCAGGGTCAAGGGCCTGCCTGGGGACGGCTTCTACATCAGGTACCAGAGGCAGTTCTAAGGCTGTAGGTTGAGGGAAGTTGGCTTCAGTGGAGACTGTGTTCCTTGTAAATGTCTCTATGTGTTTGTTGTTTCCAAAGGGGGAGGCTATGATAGTCCTTACTTAGCCCTGTGGTACACACGCTCATGATAGGATGCTTGTGACTTGAGGGCTTAAAGGATGGGGCTTCATTATTTGGGGTTAGGGCTGGGGGCATTTTGAGGCCACGCCCAGTTTCCTCTGGGCTCCATGCCTCTCCTGACCCAGGAGAGCCCTCTGCAGGTATAAGTAGACTGAATGACATCCACAGTGTCCTGGCATATTGTTGGGGGGTGGGGACCAGCATCAGGCATTTTCTTGGAGGGGTTCACAGCTTTCTTCATGAATCTGAAGCTCTAAGACCACAAAAGTAAGAACCACTCATCACCTGAGGACCATGAGATGCAGTGCCCTGTGTCTGGGGGCCCCCAGTTGCGGGAGATGGCATGTTTTTATCCAAGGGAGATTCTAATCTGTAGTAACCATGACCCTTGCTCTTGGAAGGAGAAGGCATGGCCTTGGTTCTGGGCAAGTAGTTTTTCATCTAATGGGAATGAGGCAGCCCCAGTTCTGAGGAGCCTTCAGTCTCGGGGAAGTGTGCTTCCTATCTGGAAGGAAGGTACATCTTTGTCCTTTTACCAAAAACGTGTGGGTCCCTTCTTTGGGAGCCCCTAGGAGATTGAGGAGAGGTGCTTCCTGGCCTTGGAATAACAGTTTCTGGTATGAGGGAAGCTTAGAACAGTATGCCTAGGGGCTCCTCTGACGGGCTCTCCACCTCACTCCGCCCAGGGCCCTGTATGACCGGCTGGCAGAGGGGGAGCACGAGCTGAGCTTTAAGAAAGACGACATCCTCTATGTTGATGACACCTTGCCCCAGGGCACAATTGGCTCCTGGATGGCCTGGCAGCTGGATGAGAATGCCCAGAAGATCCAGCGTGGACAGATTCCCAGCAAATATGTGTATGTGTGTGGGGTGTGGGTGGGCGGCAGAGGGGCCTGGAGCCGTCCCACGGGATTCGGGCAGGTGTCCAAGGTATAGGGGGACTAATTCTGTGGCTCATTGCAGCCGCTGGTCTGTCCACTTTGCTGAGCTTGCTTGTCCAAAAAGCTGCTCTGAGCAAGAGCTCACGTAGTAAGCACAATGGCAACTCAGGAAGCATAGTTTTAATGTCATCTAGTGAGAGGTGTTCTGACGACAGTTCCTTTTGAGTTTGTCCTGAACACGTCATGGTCAGAATTGGCCTGATCTGAGAGGTTGTTCCTGATGCTGGTGTTCATGTTGCCCCCACAGCAGGGGGAAGAAGGGCTTTGTGGGGCAGGGCGGGGGAAGGGAGCTGTGAAGTCTGCAGAGCCTTGTTGAGGGAGGCCTGGACTCCACCCTGGCTCTTGCCCTTCTCACCGTCGCACTGTGGGCATGTAGATGGGGCCTGGACCTTTCCCAGCACTGCCACTCTTGTGACCACAGGATGGACCAAGAATTCTCCAGGAGGCTCAGTGTGTCTGAAGTCAAAGACGACAACAACTCTGCCAAGACGCTGTCGGCAGCTGCACGCAGATCTTTCTTCCGCAGGAAACATAAGCACAAACGCAGAGGGTCCAAAGATGGGAAAGACCTCCTTGCCTTGGACACCTTCTCCAATGACTCTGTTCCCCTCTTTGAAGGCAAGTGACTGCCTGCTTTCCCAGTGGGCTCACAGAGGAGGTTTGCTGTTAATCACAGCATCCTCGAGACAGTGACTTAAAGGGAAAGTTACTTTTCTGTCACCCAAAAGTGGCACCATTCTTCACAGTCTTTGATCCTTCTGCAGCTTCCATTCTCAAGGTCTTCCGTGGCCACTGTGGGTCACTGAAACTCCAGCCATCTTGCCCATGATTCAGGCAGCAGGAAGGGGGAAGGGGGGAAGGGGGAAGGCAAAAGTGTGCCTCAGCTGAGTGGGCCTCTTTAGACAGCTTAACCTGGCCAGGCTTCCACCTCATGGCTCCCACCTGCATCTCATGGCCACTTGCATCTGCAGGGAGTCTGGGAAAGATAGCATTTTATCTGGGAAAGATAGCATTTTATTTACCCAGACTTTAATATAGCAAAGGAGGGAGTGGGAAGCATTGAATATAGGCAAAAGATAGTCTCTGTTCAGTGGTGTTACTTTTAGTGTGTTTAAGGCATTATAGCTGCTTGGTGGTAGCCAAGGGCCACCAGGTCTCTACAGAACTTTGGCCTTTTCCAACCTCATTCTTGTGTCAGTTAATGATTCCTACAAGATGCTCCCAGGGTAGGATGCTGACCCTGGACTAGAGTTGAGTGTTAGGGGTGTCAAGTATCCTTTGACAGATGGCCCTGTGGAGAGGGCACATTTGTCCCATAAAGTGGGAGTCTTTTCTGAATACTACTCCCAGGACCTCGGTGGGTGTCTACCACCCAAGAATGAGAGCACCCCCAGGCAAGCAGGGTATGTGGGGGCAATAAGCAGCAGAGGACAAATCAAGACCTTCAACCCCTGCAAGTTGAGTTAATAACCCCCTTAGTTCATGGCCTACTCTCACTGTTAGTTAGGATGAGGGTTAGCCCATTGCTTGCTTTTGGTTGGCCTCTGAGTCAAGGGTCAAGGGTCATTTTTCCATTTTTAAGAGTGAAATAGATATAAAAAAAAAAAAAGACTATTAGAACAAAAAAGGACCATTAGCCTTTTAGAGCTAATGTTGTTGTTATGTGCCGTCAAGTCGGCCCCAACTCATAGCGACCCCTCCTTGGGTTTCCAAGGCAGTATCACTACAGAAATAGATTGCCCTATCTTCCTTCCAAGGAGTGGCCTGTGGGTTTGAACCGCCAGCCTTCTGGTTAGCAGTCATGTACCTTAGGCACTATGCTACCAGAGCTCCTTTTAGAGCTAATAGTTGCTATGTTTTGCCTTCAAAGCCTAAAATACTTACTGTCTTGCCCTTTACAGAAAAAGTTTCCCAGCCCCTCAAGGGTTAGTGTTTTTTGTTTTGTTCTCCCTTCATCCATTCCTTTGATCTCCACTCTCACATTTTTCAGTCTCTCTTTCTCCCATGGACACCATCTCCAGTGTGTTTGGTGCATGTGTGTGGTTTGCCACTTCCTAAGGCTTGTCCTTGTCTGCATGCGTGTCTGGCTCACACACTGTTGGTCGCCTCTGTTCCAGCCATGGGCAAAGTTTAAGGGAGTGGGAGCTTGCCTTCTGCTCAGTGCCCTCAGACCAGCTGGTTTATGTGGCCACACCTAACTCATGTGGCTACACCTAACTTCGGGAGAGGCTGTGTCACTAAACTAAAGGCTGTGTAAAAAGGTTTTGCCACTAAAGAGGAGAGTGGACAATGGAGGGAGTTAAGCAGGCATGTCAGATTTTCACAGTTAGGACAGGAGGTTGCACTCCAGAAAGATCAGAAGCTGGCTCGAGGCCAGATGGCTTGGTTTGCCTGAGATGTGGGACTTTCAGGGCTGAAACTGAAAAAGTCCCCGGCAAATTAAGATGAGTCAGTCAGCCTAGTTGGCTCTAGTTTGTGCCATGAAGTGGGTGGGCCTTTCAGGGAGGGGAGCATGGATGGGCAAGGTTGGGGAGCATTCAGTCCCTAGTCTTTGCCCTCACTCCATGCTCGACCAACACCCTGATGACAGTGCACCTCTCTCTCTCTCTCTCTCTCCAGATCCAGTGAGCCTAGCTTACCAGCGAGTGCAAAAAGTGGACTGCACCACTCTGCGGCCAGTCCTGATTTTGGGGCCGTTGCTGGATGTGGTGAAGGAAATGCTGGTGAACGAGGCACCTGGAAAGTTCTGCAGATGCCCTCTTGGTAAGGAAGGCCCTTGCCTGCCAGGTGTGTCTGTGTCTGTGTCTGTGTCCATGTCCACACTGTCCTGGCCAAGCATGGTATGGCCAACCCAGGGCAAGTTACACAGTGTTTTTCAGAGGCTCAGCAGATAAGACCTGGGTTAGTTCAGGGTTTGGCCCCAGGCCCTTTATCCTAAGAAGAAGACATAGCCTTCATTCCTAAAGGCTGCTGTGCAAGACATTCTCTGCCTCCCTTATGGCCAGGTCATGCTGCAGTGGCTTGGCATAGACCAGAGGGGTGTGGTATCCTGACTCCATGTATGTTCCTTACAGAAGTGATGAAGGCCTCGCAGCAGGCCATCGAGCGGGGTGTCAAGGACTGCCTTTTTGTTGACTATAAGCGGAGGAGTGGCCACTTCGATGTGACCACGGTGGCTTCAATAAAGGAGATCACGGAAAAGGTACCTGTTGCTTTTGGCGAGGGCTGCAGGCACCTGTTTGAGCCTGAGGCCTGGGCCCCTCCCCGGGTATGTGTCTGGCCCTTGTGCCCTTGGTCTCCTTGCATCTCCCAGGCCACAGTGAGCTCACCCTTGCCATGTCAGCCTGAGTGCCCCTTCTCCTCGCTGCCCTCATTTGCTGTGTGAGCAGAGTCCTTGCTTCTCTGTGCTTCTACTTCCGTAAATATCAAGTGAATCTCTTGGCAGAGAGTCACCCTGTGCACTTGCCAACCCCCTACCTCCTGAGGGCTTTGAGCATGTTGAAGAAAAGCCTTTCACAGAAAGTCTGAAACAGGGTCCAGAGTCTGTCTTCTGAACTTACATACAGAATTTTATGTTTGTGGCCTTATTCTTGGGAGAGGGACACAGCTCCATCAGGTCGTCCTGGGGTCCAAGCCCCTGAAAGACTTAAGAACTGTTGAGCATACTCAGCTCCATTTGCAGCATGAAAGAGATGGGGGGATCTGCAAGGTGTGGAGAAGGCAGCCACTCCGCCTGGCCCTGTCCTTTCTGAGTGGCAGTCTCCCTCACTGGGGCTATGGTTCTATGCTGGCTTGCACAAAGAAATTGGCTTCTTACAGCATTAGTGCACATTGCCCAGTTGAAGTGGCAGACCTCCCGTTGGGAGTAAAGTAAAGTAGAAAGCTTGCCAGTGGTTGGGCCCCTCGATGGAGCCTCATTGGGTAGGTGGATGGGTGCTTGTGGCCTTTCTCTGACTCACGCTTCATCTGGAAGCTCAGGGGACCCAGGAACATATTTTGGACACAGCCTTCCCTGACTATAGCTTCCTCTTAAGTTCTCTGATTATTTGCTCAGTTTGGCAGAAGTAAGGGTTCTGAGGCCAAGATGAGGGAAGGCTCTAAGAAGGTCCTAGTGTCTGGGTGAAGAGAGGACAGGAAGTTTGGAGTTGGCCATCCACACCCGGGTTGGCCCTGGCTCCCAGACTTGACTGTCTTCGCAGCTCACAGCCAGCGGGGAGATGTTTCCCCGGGTAATACTTCCTTACAGCTTATCGTGTGTGGTCTTCGTGAAAGATTGGTTTCGCTGCCTTGTTCACAGAACCTTATGTGTTTGTTTATGGAGTAAGGAAGAACTGTATGCGGTGAGGGGTGGGACTCTTTGGTACAGGAAGGAGTTTATTGCCTTGGATAGGAGAAGGGCTGGGAGTGTCCTCAGAAAGGCCCAGCCCCGTGTGCATACAACCCGCCCTCTGTCTGGTGCTTACCACCCTCTCACCTCCCTTAGAACCGGCACTGTCTACTGGACATCGCCCCCCATGCCATCGAGCGACTCCATAGCATGCACATCTACCCTATCGTCATCTTCATCCACTACAAGAGTGCAAAGCAGATCAAGTAGGTGGCTGACTGTCAGGGTGTGCCTAGGGCCTTGGGGGATGGCCTTGGGGGATGCTCAGGCAGCCCCATGCAGAAGGGGAGTGAGTGTGGGGGTAGAAGAAGGAGAGACTTGCCTATTAGACTTGAAGTTGGCAGCATGTGTTAGAAAGGACCTCCCCTTCTCAGGAGGCCCCTGACTATCGGGGTGCTGCCACAGTTCGTTTTGTCTGCACAGATCCCCTCCCACTCTTCCATCCACTTTTTTTCCTCTCTTGCCTTTTAGCTTGGTGTTTAGAAGGACACAAGAAACTAGGAGACCTGGGCAAGGTCCAGTTGGGCCATGAACTAGCTGACTTGTCATTTTGATAAGCATTTGCTTTCACTGAGTAAAAGTACTTTGTTTTCCCTCATTGGTTGGACCAGCTGCCCACAAGTCTGTTTTCTGTTTCACCTTCCTGTGCTTCTGAGCTTCTGTACCTGCAATTGGGGGCCAGCTGCTGTGTCTACCATCTGTGTGCACGCACTGGGGCACCCATCATCCCCTTCCCACCCACATCTCCCTCTGGAATCTGAAGCTGTTGCTTTGCTTCTGAGGAGTGCACACAGAGGGGGCTCTACAACAGCCCAATCTCAGTGGTGACAAAGAAAGTGACAAGGAGAGCCTAGGAGAGGTGAGAGGCTCAGCTTGGTTTCCTGGGTGTCCCAACAGGGAGCAGAGAGACCCCATCTATCTACGGGACAAAGTGACCCAGAGACATTCCAAAGAGCAGTTTGAGACGGCTCAGAAGATTGAACAGGAGTACAGCAGGTACTTCACAGGTAGGTGGGTGTGAGTCACTGGGAGAAGTAGCAAGCAGGATGCAGAACCTTTCCAAAGACTTCTGTTGTAGAAATGGTGATAGCTGGTGCTGATTGGGTGCTTGTCGAATGTTTTTCCATCAAAGGCACTTTCTGTTGCAAGTGAAATGTTCTCATTTCCATCACTGGTCAGCACCAGGAATTTTACAGATTGGAATGTAAATGTTACTAGTTTTGGCACCAAGTCATGGTCTGGCCTTTTCCACTTGGATTCTTACCTGTGCAGTAGCGGGACTGCCTCACAGCAAGGAGATACCCTGTCTCATAGCTCCAGCGTCCATAGCAGGTCAGGAACTGGGGTCCTGGTGAGCCAGTGGACCAAGTGGCAGTGATTGGCTGTCTACCCCATAAGGGAAGGACAGCTTCATCATAGGATTTTGTAAAGAAAAGCCACAGACTTATTATCTCTGACCTTTGGAACAAAAGTAGCCTGGCTCTAGTTTATCTGCTGCTGTTGTACTTTCTTGTTTTCAATCTCTTCCATGAAATTGAAGGAGCCCTGGTGGTGAAGTGGTTAAGAGCTTGGCTGTTAACCAAAAGGTTGGTGGTTCAAACCTACCAGCTGCTCTATGGGAGAAAGATGTGGCAGTTTGCTTATGTAAAGATTACAGCCTTGGAAACCCTATAGGGTAGTTCTGCTTTGTCCTGTAGGGTTAGTATGAGTCAGAATTGACTCGATGGCAATGGGTTTTCCATGAAATCAGTCATTTGTAGATTATATTGTGGTCATAAAGAGGAGTAGATTTTAATTAAATTATAGAGAGTGTTGTGATTTAATACAGTGCTTCTCACACAGCCTGTGGTCAAGCATCAGTATTGTGTGTGTTATCTAATCCATCACAGATGAATGCTTTTGTCAAATGTACAAAACATGAATTACTAGAGAAGTAAAATTTAAAAACCCGAAGACTTATAAAATGCAAGCCCAGGTTTTTAAAATTAGATCCAACACACGTAAAATTACTCTACCAAGTTTCTCTAGCAGTTTCTAAAGGGTGTCAGTTTCTGTATGTACCTGACGCAGCCAGGAACAGTTTGTCAGCCAGTGCTGTTTTCTATGGGCCACACTCAGAGTGGCCCTGATCCTGTGTTGACCAAATTCGTGGTGCTGGAGCCCACAGAGCAGGGTGGGGCCAAAGTTTGATATGCTTCCTTGTCTTTGCCGCTGATCATCTTTTGCTACTGGTCTTCTCTGGGCTATAGCACACATAGCCTGTCTGGCTCCTGGCCATGGGATTTCGGGTTCCTTAAACTCATCATTTCCTATTGAATCCGTCTGATGATCATTATAGCGTCCCCCACACTAACTAACAGCTTTCTGGTATGCTGGGATTCCTACATTGTGAAAATAGTTAGGCAAACCCAGCCCAGGGTATTTCAGGGGTGAGGGTGGGTAGTAGATGTGAGTGGTCAGATCATGGTCATCACATTAAAGTGGCTGGGGATGCTTGGTGAGATTTGACCCAAGCCTCACTGGAGCCTATATTTTCAGCATTCTGAATAGTTGACCAGAGGGACAGAGAAGTAGAACTGATTTTGTGTTCAACTTTTTCTTCTCTTTTTCTTCCATAGCTTCTTGCTGATGGAGGAGAGTGGGGTGGGGGTGGGGAGGGCAGGAGTGCCAAGTGCCTCAAAACAGGCAGCAAACTTGGTCTTACTCTGAGCTGAATGATGTGTGTGCTTGGGGGGCTCTTTTGCAGGGGTCGTCCAGGGAGGGGCCCTGTCGAGCATTTACACTCAGATCCTGGCCAAGGTCACTCAAGAACAGAATAAAGTCCTGTGGATCCCAGCCTGCCCATTATAGAAGAGCTTCCACCAGCATAAATATGTGGCCCCGCTCGTTTTACCGACTGGAAATAGAGACATGTCTGTACGTAGACGAGGAGGGGAAGGACCCAGCAAACAAGGACTTCAGAAGCTCTACTCAGTGGACAGAGGGTAGTGGCCAAGGGGACTTCCGGCCTGGGCCAGCAGACCACATTCCTCTCACATGCGTGCTTTAAGACACACAAAACAAGAGTGCAAAAGACTTTCCATAAAGTGGGAGGGGAGCTGTTGGTCAATGTCATGAGACAAAGTGTATGTGAATTGCTGTATGGAAAGTGAATTTGCCCTGTAAATTTTCACCCAAATCACAATAAAAAAAAAAAAAAAAAAAAGACTTTCCATAGAAGGCTTCAGCACCAGCCTTTCTTTAGCCAGCCAGCCAGAGATGCTGCAAAGAGAACCTTTCAGACACAAGTTTACAAGCCTTTTTTAAGTATTTGGTTGATTATGTTTACTTGAACGGCTTCCTGTTATCAGTACCCAGCCCCCGCCTCTGCTGCCCACCCTTCTGTCGCGTTGGCATTAGTTTTGTTCCCGTTTTCAGCAAAACAACTCTGGAACCTCACTGGGGGCTGCTTTGCTTTGGGGGGGGATTCTTGTCAGTGGGACCAGTGCTTTGACTCGGCGGCGCCCCCTCCTGGAAGGGAGATTTCGTGACTGCAGATGCTTAGCCCATCGAGGGTGGCCGAGCCAGTGCCTTTGTGGAGCTGACGCGGCAGTGTCCTCCTCCCGCACACGGGGAAGACAGCTTTGGCAGTTTTACGGACTCTCAGAATTTTCTCTCCTGCCTTTGATGTCCTCTCATTTTCTCTCCATATGCACTTATTATTTAAGCGCTGCGTCTGGTCCCCTGAGCTCCATGGGTTCGCGATGACACACGTCAGGCTCTGGGCAGGGTGTTAGGCTCAGGCTGACACATGTCATGGGGTCCTTTGTAGGTTCTGTAAATAGTGACAGCCCTTTGTCAGTGCAATTTTTGCAGGGTAGTTTGTAGTCTTTATATTTGAGTGGGTGGCAAGAACATCAGCTCTTTTTAATACAAAAACATTCATGTTTCAGACTTTGAATTGAGAGCTCTGAGGGGAAGCATTATGACTTGTGTTACCACTGTCAAAAGTCTACAAATAATAGCAGGGGTCTTCTTAGTCTGGGTTACAGCACTCACGGCAGGGCCCACACACTGTGAGGATGTCTTTGTTTGGGGTCTGTTTTTGCACTTCTGATGCTGGGTGGCTCCGGCTGAAGACTCGCTGTGGCTCCTCAAACTGCATGTCCTGTTCTGAGGTGCTGTACCGGGCCCCTGTGTCACCGGAGCCAGACCCATGTTTTAATGCTGTTCCTAACATTTCATTCTACTAGCAGGAAATCTCTGATTTCATTTTTGTTTCTTTGTAATTTTAGGCACTAGATTGTAGTTTAGCTATTACTGATATTTTTTTTAAAGGGATATATTTTCTTGCACAGTTGTTCAAAAGAGAAGTTCAGTCATCAATGCTGTCCTTTCTTTTACAGGTACAAATTTTCTAGCTCAAAACAACTAAGAAAAACTGTAGACTATGTCTCGACCTATTCCTTTGATACCCTTCAGGGGCTGTTTTTCTAGATTGTGGATAGGGTGGGACTGTGATGGTACGTGTAAACAGACAGGTACTATTCTGACAGACTGGGATTTTCTGTACTAAAATGTTACTTTGTATCAAAAGTTAAACAAACTTTAGTACAACAAATAAAGGTCAATTTCTGTAACTTGAATAAATGAAGATATCTGTATTTCACTTGTTCTTCCTCTCTCCCCCAGCTTTCTCAGCGTCCCTTTATTCCTAAATTTGAGACAGCTTTCCTCCTCTGCAAGGAGCCTCTGCAGCACCAGAGCAGTGGCGAAGCGGTTAAAGCATCTGACTGCTGACCAAAAAGTCGGCAGCAGTTTGAACCCACCAGCCGCTCTGTGGGACAGGGATGAAGCAGTCTGCTTCTGTATAGATTTACACCTTTGGAAACCCTGGAGCAGTTCTCACCTGTCGGATAGGGTGGCTATGAGTCGGAATTGACTGGATGGCAGTAAGTTTTATTTTGTTCCCCTACAGAATGTAGCTGGAAGCGGCTAGCTAGTGTGTGAGGTTCTTTCTGGTTCTCATGATAATCAAAGACCCTTTTTCCTGCACCAGCCTCTGTCTGATGCCCTCCTTCCCTCCCATCTTGTCTGTCCATCTGTCCTAGTATTGCCTGGCTCTCCTGACTTCAGCCAGGCAGCTGATTTGTGTGTAAGGCTCAGACCCTGTGCTCAGGCACTCACATTCCAGCCTGCAGGTATGGGCTGGGCTGCAGAAACCAAAGCAGAGTAATGGAAGTCCTTTCCGCAAGGTCTCAAGGAGAGAAGGGTCAGGCCTGGCTCAGGGCAGCACTGGGAGAGAGGGCCAGCAATGCAGGGCTTTCCAGAGCAATCTCTTTCGGTCTGAAGATCCATGTTCTGGGGTGGTGGGAAAAGTGGGAGGCTTCACTTGTGGCAGCTGGGAGCCAGGGCTGGTTGCATTCAATGCCCTGAATCTTGGAGGGACATGAAGGTAGAATGTTTGAGAAAACTGTCATTGTGCAGTGGCGGCTGACCAGTGGGGACAGAGTTGGTGTTGGTGCCTCTGTGGGCCTTCCCTGCTGGATACAGTCCCACTGTGGGCCTGTAGTTTTTGCCTCATCTATCACAGGACTGTACGGGGGCTCTGGCTGTTAAGGGAGAGTGGGAGCTGGTGCAGCTGCCTGTGACCTAGGGCAGAACGCATGCCCTCCCTGCCTGTGTGTGTGTGAGTGCACACGACCACACTGCCCGCTGCACCTCCCACAGCCCAGCTCCTGTCAACCTCAGAAGGGGGCAGCTACCCTCTAGATGTTAAGTCCTCCACCTGGCAAATAGGGTATGATGTCTGCTTATTTTAGCAACAGTTTCTTTTAAAGAATTCATTTATGATGCCAAAAGCTTAACAGCTTCCAGCATTACCAGTGATTTTATTTTCTTCTTTAGACTTTTCTGTATTTTCTAATTTTCTACAGTGAATGTGTAGGTTTTCTTTTATGATTATAACACAATAATACGCCTTTTAAAAGGAAGCCTGTTAAATCACTGAAGTCACAGACTATTTATTTGCTGATGCACTGAGGCCTTGAAGGCAGCTCCCAGGACACAGGGCAACACCAAGGGGAACTCAAGCCTGGAGAGGCTTGTGGTGAAGAGGGGGATGCTACCACAACCAAATGGATCTCTGTATAGGTTAGTGTCTGCTCCACACAGGCTTAGATCATTCTGGAATGGCCAGCTGCGAGGCAGAGCTCACTTTCAGCCCTAACCACAGGCCTTGGACCAGTCACACTCTGTGGGCCTCAGAATCCTCGCCTCCAAAGATAATGAAGACTAGAAGGCTCTAAGGCTCTTCCCATGCCCACAACTGTGATTCTGTGATCTGAGGAGACAATAGTGGACTCCAAGGTATGGAACTCTGTTGCACTCCTGGTCCTACAGAAGCTGAGGTAAACCCCACCTCCAGGAGCATGGACATACAAGGTGACTCCATGCTAGGGAGTGGAAACAAAGGGTCTGGAGTGGGAGGCAGGGTCGTCCACAGCCTCAAGCCTTTGTTTTTGGTTGAGGCAGAGTTCTGAAGCTGAGCAGGGCTGCTGGCCAGCCCGGGGATTTACGCTGGGAAGCTGAGCAGCCACTCTCAGGTTTGGGCTGGTAGGGCAGAGTGTCATGAATGTCGAGGATCAGAGGAATGCAAGCAGGTGCGAGTGAACACAAGGCCAGCGTGGACTCAGAATGAGGGTGCTCAGCCCGGCAGTGGACCACAGTCCTCTCCAGTGGAGGCAACCCCCTACTGCTCCTTTCGGCTGGGTTTCTAGCCTGAGGTTTCCTCAAGCCCATTTTCTTCCATCTGCTCATAACCTCCTAGAATATAGTCTCAGTCCTCTCATGGTTTTCCCCTTCAGATTTCTTTGCTACTATGGGGTTATACCCCCCCAAAAAAAAAAACTGAAATGTGTCATATATGCAGAAGAGCATGTGCAACAGAAATATACAATTAATAAAATGAAGTGTCTCCACCTAAATGAAGGAATAGAACATGCCACTACCTTTCTTAGAAGCCCTTGCATGTCCCCACCCAGCTGAATTCCCCCTCTCTCCACTGAAGTAGCTACAGCCCCAACTCAGGGTATCTTCATTTCCTTGCTTTTCTGTATTGTTTTGCCCCCCTCTAGAGTATTTTGAGGAGCTCTGGTAGCATAGTGGCTAAGGCACTTTACTGCTAACCAGAAGGCTGGCGGTTCAAACCCACCAGCCACACCTCGGAAGGAAGATGAGGCAATCTATTTCCGTAGTGATACTGCCTCGGAAACCCAAGGAGGGGTCACTATGAGTTGGGTCCGGCTCGACGGCACATAACAACAACAACAGAGTATTTTGAAACAATATGTTGTTCAGTCCTGAAACTGAACCTCAAGCGCACTGTTGCCAGAGAAAGTGGATCCCTAGGTCGGAGAGGACGTGTGCTTCCTTGAGAATTTACAAGAGCCACTGCTGGGAAATCTTGGGTGAGTCCTGGAAAGATCGAGACTTCACAGTCAGGGCAGGGCAGTTGGCAGAGCTGTGCACAGACCAGGTCCTAAGAGTCTGGAAGAGATGTGCTCATAGGGAGGGGCTGCTGTTACTCTTTTTACACTCGCCATGCCTAGGTTTCAGGAAGGAGTCAAAGCTGAATGCTTCTGTGGGATAAAAGGAGAATCTCTAGGTGGTCTGGAAAGGCAGACAGTTCCTCAGCACCTGGCCAAGATGAACCTACTAGAAATGAGAAAGGGGGCCCCTTGTCTGCCCTTCACCCAGCGGTGTGAGGGCAGCAGTGATCTCGGAGCTTATAGCTCTCAGCATTCCTGTCCTGAGTTCCTGCTCTAAGCGTGACTAAACCAAAAAAAAAAAAAAGAGGAACCTATTGCCAT